CCACGCACGCCCACGGGAATCCTTGCTATCACAAAGCCAGAAGTAACGAAGACTCTTTCCGCCTACAGACAAGATGTGCCCCTTATACCCCGTGCACCTGGTGCTGATGTACGGCTCCCTGCTGGTGTGCGTGTGGGTGGCCGGGCTGGGCACGGTGGTGGGCGCCGTGGCCCGCGCGGCCTCCCTGGGCGTGCGGCTCAACCTCAACAACACGCCCGCCTACGCCCTCAGTGTGCACGAGGGACACCAGGAGACCGTCACCTTCTTCATCGACGACCTTCCTCCTCAGGCTGCTGGGGACCTTCTGATCGAGGTTGGGAGGGCGCGTTGGTGGGACTCCTGGGGGGAAGCTTCTCCTCCTTGTGGATATGCAAGTGGAGACTTTATAGCTAAGCCTTTAGGAGCTCATCTGAGTAATAAGCAGACATTTATATATTTTTTTAATAACAAGTTATCAAAAAGGCTAATCTTTTGTGCCCCCTTTTAGGAAATACAAAGTGATCATTTAGACCACATAGACATATCTCCAAGTAAGATTCCTGTGGCCGAGGCAGAATCCCAGGGCCTTTTAGAACGTTCGGAAAACAACACCCTAGAGGGCTCTTTCAACATCTCTGGGAAGTTCCTGGGCTTCACCAAGATCAAGTTTGTTCTCAGCAATGGCAATGATGAGGAACTTGTGGAGAGTGAGCCTGTCAGTGTCAAGGTGAGGCTTTTATTTATGACGTTTTGCTTCCAACATTCGTCCACTAAAATAGCCAGGTTCAGTGTCATGGAAACCGGTAAACCTTGAAATTAATTCTGAATTTTTATAGTGACTGAGAGAGTAACTGCCCTTTTATCTTACTCTGATTTGATTTGAAATACTGTACATGTTATTCATACTTATGACACCTTATAGCATCTTTTAATGATTTAATTCTAACGCCACTTCTGTATGATTGCAGGTGCAACGTGGCCAACGGGTGCTTGATAAAATCTTCATCCATGTTGTTATTGCAATGGTTATTGTAGCTTATATCAACATGGGCTGTGCCATCGACTTACAGGTTATCAAGCAGACCCTTCGTAAGCCCGTAGCCCCAGCTATAGGCTTGGCTTCGCAGTACTTATTTATGCCATTGGTAGGTCATGTGTAGAGATTGTTGTGGAGTCTTGTTTCATGTGAATTGAAAATATGAAAAAACAAGATTACATTACCTACAGTAATTTTATTTGTTTTTGATGGATACGTTAAAAAACATCAAAGGGGAAATTTTGCTTTAGTGTTGGTGTTTTCAATGCCTAGATTTTTCTCTCAGTAATGACCATAACTTGTTACCAGAGTCAGTGATATTTCCTTCCATTGGCAGGCCTCGTATGCCATTGGCTACGGCTTGTTCGGCAGCGCCCCAGAGATGTGGTTGGGTCTGTTCTTGACTGGCTGCTCTCCGGGCGGCGGCGGATCCAACATGTGGACTTACTTGCTGGACGGTTCCCTCGACCTGTCCGTCACCATGACCTTCATCTCGACCGTTGGGGCATTCCTGGCACTGCCTGCATGGGTCTATGCTCTGGCAAGGACTATCTTCCAAGGTAATGCGGCTGTGGAGGGATGTCTCGGGTCAATGTACTTCTCTGTTACTAGGTTTACGTGAGTTCAGATTCAGATTAAGCAACGTCCACACAATGTTCTTTAATGCAAAGTATGTATACAAAGTATTTTTAATTATGTACTTTTATTTAGTTGTTTAGTTATTTATTAGAATATGTATTATGTTATTATTATTATTATTATTATTATTATTATTATTATTATTATTATTATCATCAGTCTATTAGTAGTTGTAGTAAAAATATTAATATTGTTATTATTATTATTATTATCATCAGTCTATTAGTAGTTGTAGTAAAAATATTAATATTGTTAATATTATTATTATTATTATTATTATTATTATTTTTATTATTATTATTATCATCAGTCTATTAGTAGTTGTAGTAAAAATATTAATATTGTTAATATTATTATTATTATTATTATTATTATTATTATTATTATTATTATTATTATTATTATTATTATTATTATTATCATCAGTATATTAGTAGTTGTAGTAAAAATATTAATATTGTTAATATTATTATTATTATCATCAGTCTATTAGTAGTTGTAGTAAAAATATTAATATTGTTAATATTATTATTATTATCATCAGTCTATTAGTAGTTGTAGTAAAAATATTAATATTGTTAATATTATTATTATTATTATTATCATCAGTCTATTAGTAGTTGTAGTAAAAATATTAATATTGTTAATATTATTCTATTATAGTAGTAGTGTAGTAAAAATATTAATATTGTTAATATTATTATTATTATTATTATTATTATTATTTTTATTATTATTATTACCATCATTATTATCATATCTGTCATTCACATTAGATCTCTACTCTTACAGATGGACATTTCTCGAAACTTCCCTACAAGAATATTGCAATGTTGGTGGTTGGCCTTGTGCTGCCTCTGTCCATTGGCTTGGTGATCAAGCGCTGCTCTCCTCGGGTTGCGCTCGTCATGAAGCGCCTTCTGAAGCCCATCTCCATTATCTTCATTCTGTTCATGATGACCTTTGGAGTGTATGCCAACCTCTACATTTTTGCTTTCTTCAGCTGGAAGGTATCCTTAATATATTTTTGTTTTTTGAATCCCTGTAATGAGAAAGTAATCTATCAGTATTTTTATTGAAACTTGGATGATTGAAAAGGACTCTGGTTTCCCTGATATAATTGCAAATATCACATGTTGAGATAATCAACATACATTCAGTATTGCATCTATTTATATATTTTTGCTGCCCTCAGGTTGCTCTTGCTGGCATTCTACTTCCTTGGCTTGGCTTCCTGTTTGGTGCCGTGGCATCCCTCGTGTGCAGGCGCAGCTGGGAGGAAGCCATTGCTATCAGTATTGAGACTGGTGTGCAGAATACAGGCCTGTCCATAGGCATCCTCAAGGTATATAGAGTACAGCTATCTCCTGTTCATGCAATGGCTTTATAGAATAATTAATGCAATTATTTATTAAATTGTTTGTTTGCCCATTATGTAGATAGAGTGAATCAAACAGACTGGCAGAAAATGTTTCTAGTTTATTTTGAACCTCACTGTTCAAACAAGAGGGAAGATAACCAGTCTCTCCTTCCATCCCAGGTTGCCCTTCAGGAATTTGCTCCGCTGGGAGACATTACCATGGTGATTCCCGTTGCCGTGGCCACCATGACCCCAATCCCTCTGACCATTGCGTACATCGCCAAGCGCATCCGAGAGTGCAGGGCCAAGAAAACAACCTATGAGATTGATTGCCCTGAGGATTATGAGGATGACATGAAAAACCAGCTGCATCTCTCTCCCTCATCCACGTCGTCACTCCATAAGGATGCCAATGATAATTCAAAAGCTATTTTGGCTTAATTTTTTTTCTTTTTGTCGGATATGAAAATTAAGAGGAAGAAGGTATCAAGATGCCCGGTGATTCTTTGATATGGTGCAAGAGAATTTTCAATTAAAGAAGGTTTTATTATTGCAAATGGTACCTGTCTCTTTTAATTATGTAAATGTAACATGTATGTGAATTTTTACTTTAAATTATTTTTGGTACTTAATATATCATATTGTCTGTGACTTAAAAAGTCTGAACATGAAAGAGATAGATCAGTTATGTTTTCAGAGTCTTGTTAAAATATTTGTTAATATGATCAAAACTGTTTAGACAGTATAAATATTTGTACAATATGTGGTGCCTACAACAGTCTTGTACCAGGTGAACTTAGTGCCAGAGAAAAAAAAAATTATTATTGATATATAACATTTGCCCTCCAGCGAAGTAGTACACAGTAGATCAATATTTCAGAAGATGTGTCAAAATTTAGCAATTATTGTTTGCATATGTGTGTATCTTACATGGACATACACATAGCAAACAGCATTGCCCATAATAATTGTGAATCTGCTCAGGATAAATGGAAACACATTTTATCAGATGAAAATATTTTGATACTGAAAATTGTATATTGCCATATTCTTGATGCAGAGAAACTTATCTATTTTGAAAAGAATAAGAGCAGATGTAGTGTATAATTCAGTTGTAAAAAAAATGTTTTTGTATCAGTGTATCAGTCTATAATTTGTATAATAATTTCGGAATCTCATATATATATATATATATATATATATATATATATATATATATATATATATATATATATATATATATATATATATATATATACATACATACATGCATATATATATACATTATATATATGTATATATATATATACATTATATATATATATATATATATATATATATATATATATATATATATATATATATATATATATATATATATATATATATATATACATACATACATGCATATATATATACATACATACATATATATATATACATTATATATATATATATATATATATATATATATATATATATATATATATATATATATATATATATATATATATATATATATATATATATATATGTATATATATATATATGTATATATATATGTATATATATATATATATGTATATATATATATGTATATATATATATATATATATATATATATATATATATATATATATATATATATATATATATATATATATATATATATATATATATTACTTGAACATAAAATTTTAATAAATTAATTTTAAAGACATTTTCTTGTACATCTTTGATCCTACATATATTATATTTAAATGCCGATATATTTTGTTTATTAGACAAAATTATTGTACTTCATGTTACTGAGAAATATTTGACAGGAAGCATGGCCTCTATCATGGCCAGGAAGCCCTCCAAGAGTTCCTGTAATCCTTCTGTATATTGATGGAGGTCGAGGAAAGTTTACTGTATTGGTAAATTTTTGAGTTTCTATCTATGAACCGAGTTGTTCTGTAATCTGTTATATCTGTGGACATTCCGATTTTCGTTTACGTTCCTAATAGTACTTGTTACAATGAAAATTCCTTGCAGTAATCCATGTAGGTAAATACTATTGGTCTTGCAGTTTGTTTGCATTTTAGCAAGTTATCTGAGAATTGCTATACATTTACTATACCCCACATACCTTGTCCGTTGTTACCGTGGGAAGGCTGAGGACGTGGAGACTTATGCCCAATGCCAGGGATCACCTCTGCCTTGGGCCAACTAATTTTGCACAGCCTCCACTTCTTTCCCTATCCTTTTCCTTCTCTTCCCCAACTTCTACTATCTACTTTCTAAGGTGTGAGAGCCGTGTTGAAAGGATGAAAGGATGACTTTGTGCCAGTCATGAATAACCTAGGGCAGCCATGGGCACTTTATATCCCAGTTAAATTGTCTAGCCCTTACCCCTCAAGGAGACCCTGAGGGTTGGACCATTCCTTTCCTCAATGTATTCCAGGCTTACCACCCCCAATCCCTTACTCGTTGTTGTCGTTGGAGGTGGGGGCTTAGGGGACGGGGACTGAGGCCCAAAGTAGGGGATCACCCCTACTGATTTTGCATGGTCTTTTCCTCTCCTTTCCTTTTCCTTTTCCTAACCTGGGGGCTTTTCCCCCAAGCCTCACGCTAACACTGTATTTAATAACCTTAGATGTTGACGCGGTAGAAATTTCCAATAAATAATCCAGGCTTACCATGCCTAGTAATGAAGATTTTGTACTCCAATAGGAAGTAACGAGGCTTCCCCTTTATCAGTTGACTAAGTTAAAGTTAAGTTAGTTTGTTTACCACCCTGGCTATCTGCTCAGGCATGGGCAATTGTGATTACAGTTTTACATGGTAAAATTAAAATATAAATCATACAGAAGAATGTTACGTTGATATGCTTTTGCCACTGTGTTTACATAACACACTGTTCTTTGTTTTCGGCAATTTTACATAGTAGGATCTAGTACGAGTATATTCTCTAGTGCATCAGATGAAATGGAATATTCACACAGTTCATTATACTCATGTTAGGTGGTCTGGAAGGCTGTATCACATGACATTCCGAGATATAGTGCTCAAGCGTTCGCTTATTTTCTTCGTCACACAGTCTACGTCTAGATTCATCTGCACGTCTTGCACTGTGCAATTGCCAGTACATTCTGTAACCTAAACGTATTCTGGCAATAACCACGTCACATTGTCTGATATGACTTCTGCGCCACCCATATGAGGGCTTGCTATCTCTCTACTGATCGTAGTGCCTTTTGGTATAGCTTTCAGGTCTTTGAGTGTTCGTCAGATCTAATAGTTCTTCCTTATGAGAACTTCTCAATATATGTGCAATTTTCGCCAATTTGTCTACGTGGTCGTGCTTGCGTATGCCAGCATGAGATGGTGTCCATTGAAACTGAATGAAATTGCGCTCTATTACATAAGTTACGCTACGCTTAATGCAACTCACAGTTTCCCCATCGCCACCTTCTTTGAAAGAAATTACTGTCCGAAGAGCACTTTTGAGAGTCACAGAAAACTACCCTATGGCCCCGAGACATTAAGAATTTTGTTGCAGGGAGTATACCCTGTTTGTGTAGTGCTGGCCCATCCTTGCATTCATATCAGTTGCATGTTGCAGTAAGCCATTTTTGTATACAGCGCAAGCGGAATAAGTTTTGTATCCAGACTGTACGAATTCGTCAGCGTAACACCCGTATACATCGTCGCCCATATATTCGGTGTGTTCCTTTACCGTTGCTAACGCAGTTTGTGTTAGCAGGCAGTTAGGTACACTGTTTTGTGGTAAACATGTAAGGTGCACGATCAATGTTGAATTTTCCCATGGGGGAATAGGTCGACCTTTTGGTATTTTACTAATTGGGACATTGAGCTTTGTAATGTTCATGGAGTTTTTGTGTATCAGAGGACACGCGCGTGTGTGATTAGTCACGTCTGCTTGCGTTATTTTATATTGCAATTATTTTTTTGGAAATCTGAAAAATAAAAGGGTTCCCTCAGAGCTTTGACCTCAATTACAGTGGAAATAAATATTATTCTATCAGATATTGATTGTAAGTTTAGTTCTGATTTCATGTTCACCATCCTTGATGTTCTTGGGGCGCAGAGGATAATCCTATTTGCTTTCTGATTCCTTACCCTGCAGCAATTGCAGCGCACGGTAGTCTAAAACTTACCTTATTAAAGCGAGCTTAACACTGATGCCATGTCCTCTTCCAACAAGAACTCCCAACGGTTTCAATCTTTCCCAGTCTCTTTAGTGAAAGGGTCAGTCTGCATCATTTATGTTCACCCCGAGATATTCATAATTATGACACATGTCAAGCTCCTGGTCATCTTTGTGGAAGGTGGGTTGGGGTATGATATATGGATTGAGAACTATTGTATTCTCAGCGAAGATGACTAATCCACATTTATGAGCACATGCTGTGAGTTTATCGAGAATTATTTGCATCCTCTTTTTTGCTCTGGCATGTCATCAGCATAGCCTGTAACGGAT